GATGTGGGGTTTCTGGAATGCTCCACTGATGGGACAGACTCATAGAAATCAACTCTCATGGAATAACAATCCAGGGAGTACCCTCTTTGCTTAACAAAGAGTAACAGATTCTGTTCCTCTGAGGGTAACAGAAATCCTCCGGCCTCCAGGCAACTGAACGGCCCCAACTTTGCATGCCAGCACTCCTTTGTCATCAGACCATCTGCCAGGCAGATGAGCTGGCAGAAGATCAGACAGGTACAATGAAAACCTGCTTGTTTTCCAGCACACCTTCCTCAGAATAGGCTGTCACCATGTGGCATCTCAGCTTTGCCTGAAATCCAGTGGAAATATGTTCGCCTGGATCCTCTCCAGCCAGCACTACAGATTAATCCTGACCGACATCTGCAGGCTGAGATAATGTTTGTGGTCACAAATTTCCGTGCAAATATATGTTTTCATATCTATTTTATATATGAGAATAAACAGAGCTAATTGGTGAAAATAATGTATTGGAAAGTTTAAAGACCTGTTTTTAATAATCTTTAAAGTAGCTTCCCTTGAGAGGTTTTCTTTCACCAGTCTAAATATTTAATATTATGTTTACTGTTCTTGTTTTTAAAGAAATATTTTAATGAAACAAAGTAGTTAATGACTTGCAAACCACTGATTTTCACAGGAGCAGGACTTTAAAAAACATTGAAGAAACAGAGAACCACTTATGCTAAAGATGGAATAGTCTACGGCATTTTTGAGCCTGTCCCATAATTCCATACTCTTTCCTGCTCTCCAAGTTTCACAAAGATAATGAAATATAGGATTTGTGTTTTCTAAGACATAGCACTATGAGATTTCCAGACAGTATTTTTTATTTGCTAATAAGTCCTCTCCTTTCTCCTGGTGGTACTTTTTTCATTCAACTTTTTTCTTAGTTTTACATATATATATCAATAAAGAGCTGTGAGGACCAACTATGCATAGAAGACAAGCTATGAATTAAAATATAGTGATTTAGCAGCATTAAAAAATTGCTCAATTAACTTTTCTAATTAACTGGTATGTGACAAGCAGAAACAAAATGCAGGTAATTTATGGAGTTGATTGGTTTGGAGAAAAGCGAAAATGTTAAATGGTTGACTTTGTTACTCCATATTTCAACTTTTTTTTTTTCCCTTTTCAATTCTGATTAAATTACCACTACCAAATTTTCAGGGGTACAGAGCAAAATTAAGCCCTCCTCATGAAAACCTCAGACTTCTAGAACAACAACAAAAAAAAGCAAGACAGAATAAGGAATGATAATCCAAGCATGCCATTATGTGATAGCACTGGAAGCTAATGGTAAGGGAAAGGTTTTCAGAGAAAGAACATCTGTTTAGTGAGAAATGCAAAAAAACAAAAACCCCACAAAAGCAAAAAAACAAATATCTTGTGAAATACCTTAGATTTGTACAAAACAAAAATTGAAGCTCTGATCCTGCTATTAGAAATACAGAATCTGATACATTGCAAGCTCTTGTTCTTTCTACTGTTTCTCTCACTTGCTTTGCCTTTGTTTCTTAGGTGCTTGTTCATACAGAACAAAAATCAAGGGAAAACAATAGGGTTTACCTCAAACCAGTAATGTATCTAGATAAGGCTCAATTCATGCAGAAATCAAAACCATCCTGGGAATCCTGGAAAATCTACTTTCAGTGTTACAGCTATTAATACCCATTCAATGGTTACAGTCTAAGATTTGGGAAAATTTCCCTATTGTGCCATTCATGAGCATAAATTTTGTTGTGATATTGCTTAAAGTTAGCTATCTTTTCAGAACTTGCTTGACTCAAGAAGGATATTAAAGCAGATGATTTAATGCTTTCCCAGTTGGGGTCTTTTCTTTCTCTCTTCTTTTTTTTTTCTTCCATAAAAGTGACTATAAGTTTTTTGCCATTCAGCATATTCTTATCAGAACAAGATTTCTTTCCTTCTAAAATTTTTACCTTTCAGTCTAATAACTTGTATTTTAATAATGACTTAATGTTAGGTGTCTACTATTGCATCTTAAATAATCTCATCATAAATCAGGTGTTATTCTTCCTATCTAAAAATTATACATTCTCTTAAGAGCAATCAGCCATTTTACTGTTGATCATGCGACTCAAAGTACACAATGAGTAAGGGTTCTCCTAGGTTTGGGAGGGTTTAAGGATGCCACCCTATCATTCCAGCTTGGGTGGAAATGAGTAGAGGTTTTCAAGAATTATGGTTTGCTGGATGAGAATAACTTTGATCTTTGAAGCTGCCTGAGTTATGCCTTAATCAGTGGGGTTTTTTTCTTATTTTGAACAAAGTTACAGCTATGCTTTACCTCCCAAAACATTATGTGGAAGAGCCCATGTATGTAGACTGTTTCAGTAAAGCTCATTAGAATAGGCTTGATTTTAATGGAATGAATTATTCTGAAAGCAAATAATTCAAGAATACAAACACTTCAAAGTGAACTTCAAGAGAGAAGACTGAGCTTGAAGTTAAGTTTATCCTTCTAGCACAAGCTTCAAGCTGCCAAAACCTACCAAACTGAGACCCAAAGCAAGAAGTACCTGCAGGAGGAAGCAGAAGACAAAATTATTGGAGGCCATTAACTCTCCCTTTTTTTCTCTTTTGTTAGGCAGTCTCTAGCTATTACTGACTTAAACATCCCTGGCATTCCCATTGTATTTGTATACCAACAACCCCTCTTCCTCCCAAAGATCAAACTTCCTGTGTCCAAAACTTCCCAGTGCAGCAGGATGCTCTAACCTTCCCTAATCTGGTCTAACTTGCATTAACTGCATTTACCCAGCACAGAGCAGCAGCCTCAGCCTGGCCATTGTTATCCAGAATCGTAGCTGGAGGACCTGCTGTCTACTTTTTGTACAAATCCTAGTGATTAGATTTTTAGAGCAGCAGTTTTGGCACTGTAACTCCCACTTCACAGAAGAAAATCCAAGTTGCCAGGCTACAGGAAGAAAAACTGACCAAGATGAGCAGATGAGTAACAAGAACAACAGGACAGAAGCAGAGCAAGTGAAAAGTGGTATGACGTGGTAACATCATGAATGAGGAGATGTAGAAATGAGCAGCATGGGTTCTCATTTCCCTAGACAATATTGGAGTTTATTTCACCGAGGGAAATATAAAAATTAAATTATTGCATTAACTGTAACTGCATTAAATGTCTGAATCAGAATATATTATTTTAAGGGAATATAACTACAAGTGGTAATCTAAGTATAACTGTGACCACGCAATATGTGCAATTGAAATAGAGCACTGTGTTGGCAAAACATTAGGCTGTTTCCCATCTCTGAGCTGCATGGATCAAGCAAGCAACAATTGTAAAGCTTTTGCATTAACTCACTGAGCTCCTATTGCAGCTTGTAGAGAAGAAGCCAGTCACGCTGCAGACAGCTCAGATAAGTGTTTCTTGAAGACTGACATGTTGTTCCCAATCCTCTTGTCTAATTAAAGACCCAAAATATTATTCTATTGAAGCTGATGGCAGTACTCACTTGACATCAAAGCAAATCAACATTCACCATTTTTTTATGAAGAATTATTTTTACCATATGATTAAAAAAAGCAAGACAATTCATAATGCACCATGTGGTAGCACTTTGTCTCTAGGTGATGGCAGACTCCAGTTCCATTGTGCCTCAGAGGTTCCACCTGAAGCCAAGAGATCAACTCAATATTGAGGTTGCAGTTCCTGGACCAAGTTACAGTCACCTCCAGAGGTGCCAGCTCTGACAGGAGTCTCATCCTGCTGTTCAACTGACACACGTGCTAGAAGACTGAGGAGCTTACAAACTAAAGACAAGAATAAAAATATGTCCACTGTGCAGATAAGAATTGAGGCATGTGCAGAACTGGCTCACCTGAACTGGCACAGCTGAGCTCCAGTAAAGCAAGGGAAAGATCCTCAGGTTTATTGCTGCAAATCCAGAGGGACTATTTGGATGCTGAGAACGCACGCAGGATCACTCTCGAGGAGAAAAGACAACGCAGAAAGAATCGTGTCTTGCAGAATATATCACCTAAGGAGTCTTTCTGCTGTGTCTTTTGCAATTGGGCATGTCTATCTCATATTGGCCTTATTAGCCACCAGCGTGCTTGTAACAAAAGTGGATAAAGCCTTTCCCAAATCTTCGTTTGTGAAGCCTAGCCATGATGATGATTTGGATGCAGGTGGCATATTGGCCTTCCTGACAAAAATTTTGCATGGATCGCCTGGCTTTATGCTATCATCTCTAAAATAGAGAAAACAATAAAGTGAAAAACCTCCTTTCCCCAAATTCTATGCCTAGTGCTTTGTTTTGTCAAAGAGTATAACTAAAGCTAGCTTAAAATCATGGCATAAATTCTTTACTGAAAGAACAGTGAAAAGTTGGGGATTACACCTGAGTCTGGGAATTCTTGGCTCCCAGCTAAGTGGGCAAAAAAGGGAAATAGTCATAACCTTAAAATCGTGATTGTATTAATTACCATTTGCCAGATGAAATGCTGAACAATAATATCTCTAGCATCTATATGGCCAGGGATTGGAGTGGACATGGAACCAAATAGGACAAAATTTTCCTCCTCCACAAACTTGTAATTTGGACTTTAGGCAAGGAAATATTTTTGCATGGTTTATTTAGAGTTGCTGCTCTATAGATATCTGCTACTTCAATCATAGTACAGTAAGATAACTCTAAATGAAAAGTTCCTGTGTGAAACCAAACTCTAGACCATGTTTTGTATTTTAATGAAGGTTCTTTCACAAAGTATTCCATTATGGATAATGAGATAGTAGCAAAAAATGCACTAGACAGGACAGATGGGAAGATAGTCAACTGCCTATACCAGAAGATTTTCAAAGTGCAGTAAACAAATTACGAAGCACACTTCTCTGGCTAGATGCCAACCTATACTCTAGGGAACTGGTCAAAGGGTGGATCATGAAAAGCCTTTTTGGGAGCAGCTAAATTCTACAGCTGTGGTCTTTGTTTTTCTAGTACTTTGCAAGAACAGAAGGGGGAATTACGAAAGCGTCTATCGTACACTACCCATAAGCTGGAAATGCTTGAAACGGAGTTTGATTCTACACGTCAGTACCTTGAAATAGAATTGAGACGTGCTCAGGAGGAACTTGAAAAAGTAACTGAAAAACTGAGAAGGTTAGTAACTAACTTTTTGAAATAAACAGTTATTAGGAATTTATAAGAGACTGTATTAAAGATATTTGTAAGTAAAAATAAGCATAGTTGCAAACATGCATAATTTATTATTTTTTGACTACATATCATGTTTTCATATTTAATATATATATTTCACTTATCTGAATATATTTTACATGCCACATGAAGTTATTTACAAGTGATACGTAAGATGTCTCTGTACTAAAAGCAAATATGCAAATAGTGATGCACCTATATAGGTACATATATAGCATTGTTTATGTGTAAACCTGAATGTGGATTAGTGCCACATTGTGTTACAAATACAAAGGTTATAAACATACTACATATACATATATTTATACTGCATATATACAGATTTATCTTTTTTTAATGACTTTGCACATTTTCTTTTGTTACTCTTCATTGCACTGATACAAGAGAATTTGGCTCTTCATCACTCAAAGATGAGATTATGTTCAATTCAAATAGTATTAAGACATTTTGCATTATGCTAAAGCAAATAATTTCTTTTAATCTCAAGTAGAATGGAATGATACTGAAAAGCTATTAGTTAAAACTGTTGTGACCGTGGTACAGTGCTGTTTCAAAATGGGGATCCAGTTAATATTAATGATAAATTATGTTAAGCAAGCACTCCTGACATTCCTGACAGTGATTAAAATTGTCTGTAGTCTAGCTTTAAATTTATCAGTGATTCTTAATATCCATGTTTTCATTTTTTTGCAAAACTTCTGATACTAGAATTATCCATTTATGCAGGAATGTATTTGCATGTCTTGTGAGACTTTCCTAAACTGATGTTGTAATGGAACTGTTTGATTTAGTTCATTGGATGAGTCAAAATTAAATTCAGAACAAATCATTCCAGGGCTATACACAAAGAAATATTTTTCATTTCTTGCAGAAGGCAAAAGCCAAACCAAACAAAGCCAGAAAACAGCAATAAACTGGGTCAACCAAACCACCAAATGAAAATTTTAAACAGAATGAATCTGTAAGATCATAATTTAGGAAACATCCTATGTGGTCTTATAACTTAAATGCTTCCCTATCTGGGGATGCTTCTTAAAACAAGACTAAAATATGCAGGTGACACAGGCATTTTGAAATCTACACATGTCTATCCAGAGCAGTCTGGAGATTCTCTGAAACATTTTTTGTTTTTAACAATATTTTTCCTATCATTTCACTTAGAGCAGAGCCATTGAAAGTAACTTCATTCTTGATCTAATTTCCTCTGATACATTCCAGGACAGGGAACACTGGTACTTTTATTTTCTGAAGCATTAATTCAGAAAGCTGTCATAAACCAGCAGAGGGGCTGACCATCCCACTTCTGTTAAAACAAAGGGGCTTCCTAGTCAGTAGGAAGTCTCTTATCAACTTCACTGGGCTCTAATGAGTTAAGCACCCTTTGAAACTCAGGTCAAGTGCTCACTGTAAAGTCTAGCACTCATACCCAAACATCACATTAGCAGAACTGACTTTCCAATATTCTAATGGAACATTGTACCGTATTATGAAGAAAACTTATATTAAAAATTATGTTTCAGGCAGGTGATTACTCCCCTGAAGACATATCATAATGGAAGCCAAAAATATGTTACGAGGTGAGCTTTAAAAATGTTTCTATTGAGAATGGCAAGGCATACTGCAAGTTGAACAACTAGATTTCTCAACCTGGAGAACGATAATGTCTGAAAAAAAGCCTGTCATCCAACAGCATGTCAGTAGTATGTCACAGAGGAAAACCAATATGAGAAAAACAAAGAAGTAGAATTAGTTTCAATAATGTGTCTCTTCCTTTATTCACTGCACAGGGAGAGAAATTCAACCCCCCCTAAATAAATAAATCCTCTGTAATAAGATCCCACTTGCATACTAGAAAAGATTTCTGTTATTAAATTTCCATTACTGTAAAGTGCAAATTTTTTCAAAGACGCTGAATGGCCATCCTTTTTTAATCCTTTCTGAAACTCTTTGTCTTAATTTATCCAGAATTACCTGTTTTGCTGCTAGACCTCCCCTCTCACCCAAGTGAGAAGGTGACTCACGTGGCTCAATTGTCAAGTTTTCAACCTCACTACAAACATTTAGAAGTAGCCTCTTTCTTTTTTTCCCAGTGTGAGAAAAAGCAGAACAGTGCTGAGTAGGTTTGAAAATATTAATTGTAAAGCATAAGTTCAGTTTTGAAAAGTGACTGAAAAGAGATTGGGGTTTTCATATACGTCACAGTGGTCCCTTATCTGACATGATTATCATGGTTTTTATGAATTGAAATTTAAAAAAAAAAAATCAGAAACCAATCTTGGAACTAATTCTGGACTCCAAAGTTCACATGGTGTTTCCTTCTTGAGACCCTACTCTGGGTAACAACTTGTTGAGGTCCCCACCCTATCTTTTACCAGGAAATAGGGTAAAACCCATACCAGCATGTATTTAGCACTGAGATTAGCCCCCACACATTTTTGTTTCACCAAAAGCAAGACAATTCACAGACTGAAGGGGGTCACAGAAACCCTGGGGGGAAAACTCTCTTGTTTTCATATGGAAGTTGGTGTAACTTGTGATGAGAGAGAGACAAAAGTTTTCTTGAACAAGAAGCTGCTACTTTAACAGTCACTCTTCAAAAGTAACTGCACTCTGGGAGAAATTTGCTTCTGTAAAGAAAGCATAGACACGATGTTTAACACAGTCAGAATATTTTTCATTAGACCCTAATTTGATCAAGAGTCTAAACATGCATTTAACGGGTGCAGATACATGCACCTCGAGTCACATGCATAACATCTAATAATACAAACAACACAAAATCCATCAATAAATGATAATAGGTTATTGACTCACATGAGTTTATCCTTATAGCAGTTTCACAGGGTAATGAAGCTGACCTACTCTTCACCTTATTTACAAAGCCAGATTTACAATGTTGAAGTATTTCATACCTCACAACGTTCAGGCTACCTGGGTGTCTGTTTTCTGCAAACGGGGTTAAGTTACCATTTGTTCATCTGATCATTTTCAAATTTTAATAATTTCCCCTGCTCTTTATTTCTCCTTTGCTTTATTTTAGAGTTTAGCCCAAAGATTGATCTGCCTCTGTTCCTCTTTGAACACTTCCTTCCCTATATTTCTGGGTCCATTTCTCTCCTTGCCACCTACATTTGCTGATGCTTCTTTTGGAACAGTGAATTTCCAATTTGGGTTTGCTTATATGTGCATGTGTATGTGCTTGTGATGCGTGTACGTGTTTGTGCTTATTTTGACTACCTTTGCATACTGTTCTCAATAGAAACACTTTTTGAAGCTTAACTTCCTACTTACTGTGGATTTTTTTTTAGATTTGATTTGACTTTACTGGGAGGCAGTCAATTTTTTCAGTGCAAAATAAATGTCTTAGAGAAATAATGTTTCTGGGCTACTTTCTCCTAAACAGATTTGATAGGCAAAGGCAAAAGAAGTTACAGACAAATAGATCGTGATAATCTCTTGCAAAACCCCTCTATCACCATCTCGGCATGGAAGTGTTGTCATTGAGAAACAATTATATTAATGGTAATCAACCTTTCAGTCATCCATATCAAGAGAAGAAGTGACAACAGACGCTGAGGAATAAATCCAGTGACACATTGTCACCATCACAAGTCCGATATTCAAGTAGCAATTATTGTTTTTATTCATGGTCTCAAAGTTACAGAAAGGGAACCTTTAGAGTCTCCCTTGAGCTGTCCACATAGGTCACCACTGCACAGCAGAATGGGTTAGAGAGATGCCTAAGCTAGAAAAGCTCTGAACCAATTTTCTGCCCTCTTTTCTTTCAGGAATTTATGCAGATACTTTTTAACCCATGCAATCTCTTGCAGGGGTTAACTGTTTAAATCAGTTTTTATACCACCTCTACTTGAGCCAGAAGCTTTTTGGGTGCAACTTCTTTACTAGACAAAAAATGTAGACCATGACAGAGAAGATACTGGGACACTTCCCGTCTCAGCCAGCAGGCACTATTTTGTTTTTCTAAATTCTTGCTTCCTGCGCCACAGCACTCGGCCCTACCAGCAGAACAAAATATTTGTGCTGAGTAGCTGCAGGCAAAGCCATTGTAACCCTCCTTGTTTCCACTGTTTATCAAGATCATCTCTGCCTTCTCATGTGCCACGAAAAGCTGGGTACAGAGTACCCTGAGATTTGTCTCTGTTGCGTTGACAGTTAAATAGCTGTGAAAATCCCAAATACAACTAGAGCTGAAAAATAAATGTCTGTAGAGAGCTTTAGTGGTAAATGCTGTGAGGAGCATGGACGACGCAGAGAATTGTAAACTTCAGTCAATCCTTTAAGTCACCTGGACACGAACACAGTGGCACTATGAGAACTGGTGAGCAATGACCAAGTCTCACAGTGCAAGTCTCACAGATTTTCAGCCCATTTATGTCAACACCTTAGCAAACACTCTTTACCATAGATCCTCCTCACAGGGAGGAAGCCTCTGCTCAGCAGCTCTGTAAAACGTAGACAACATTGAAACTTCCCCCAGGCTTGCAATGAATGCTGGAAATGGCTGCCCTGAGTCAAGTCTGACCCTTGGTATCCTGAGGATTTTCACCCATGGGGATGTCATTATTTATATCCACAGAGCAGATGTCCTTGGCACGGGCATCCCCTCTCAGGTCCGTGCAGCAGATGTTATCGTATTGCTGGGAGCCCCAGCCAGAGCTCTTCACGCCTCAAGAGGGGCACTGCAAGCCACTGGCCTGCCCTGAATGGAGAATTCTGATCATTTAACTGGAAAGAAAATCTCCATGGCAACAGAAGCTGGGAGAGACTTGAAGCATCATGTACCAGGAATGGGTGGGCTGGACCCTTTGATTTGCAACCATGGCATGATTCAAATACAGATCTTCATTTCAGTTTCAACAGGCATTCTAACAAACCAAATGATAAATCCAAGAGACTTCTTTAATCCCAGTCCCTTCCTGATCACCACGGAAACTACGCTCAGAGGAAGTCCCTTTCTGCTGTATATGTGTATTGCGTCTGAGTTCACTCTTACAGCCAACACACTCGCACATTACCTAAAATCAGCTCACTGATGAAAATACTTTGACCTATTGATCAGTACAAACATACTGATTTATCCAGACAAACTTTTCACAGCTGAGCTTCTAACATTTGCTTTACATTTGTAATACATATTGCTGAGATGATGGGTACTAACAAGACCAAGGAGCTACCCTCCTTACCTTCTGTGAGGAGAAAGGCACAGCTACTACCAAAATAGCAATGTTTTTCCCACAGGCTGTGCAGCTTATTCATTACAATACTAAGATTAACATCTAAGTAGCCTAAAGATGCACAGGCTGAAACTTTTCTTTGGTGTATTGCTCTGGAATAAGCAGGAAAGCCTCATTTTTTCAGTCCATTCAATTCCTAAAAAGAAATACCCATCTAAGGTATCTAAATACATTTCCTAAAGAAAGATGTGTTTAGGTCTGGAGAATAGGCAATCCCTTGAACTTTGGTGTAAAGAAGGGATATTCTCTTCTAAGTCATGATGTTGATGCCCAAATGTTGCTACAGTTGTGAGGATTCTGCTGCAATTCTTTTTATTAAGAGACCTCCACAATTTTTTTTCTGCTGCCTAAGCCTACAGCTCAAGCTTCCTCTCTAACATATTATTCCTGAGCCTGATGTAAAGCTACAATTTCCTTGTGCAAGTTCCTAAGCTGCATGCAAGTGCAGAATGGCCAACAAATTTTCACTTCCTGATGGAATTTGCTGCTAAATATAGTAAGCAAACATGAGAAAGAAGTTTGCTTAGGAAGCAGGTGGTAATTGCATTTCAAAGGCAACCACTGACTGGCAACAGGAGTGATAAATAAATAGATTTCAAATAATGCAAGCCAAGGTTTTGTACTGATGTGAAAATACAGATAAAAAACAACATGAAAAACAATGCATTCAATTACATGATATCATCTTTGTTTTAGGATACAAAACAATTACCTAGCCTTACAAAGAATTAATCAGGATCTGGAGGATAAACTTTACAGAATGGTAAGTTATCATAACTGGTTTCTTTTAATATATTATGGCTTTATGGTTCTTAAGTCATAGGAAAAACATGTATGTAGCTGTCACAAAAAAAACCCTCATGCTCTAAATGTAATTATACTTAAAAATAGATATATGACTTTATCAGTATTATGATGTAGAGCTCAAGCTGTGTATGATGACATAGCTCCAACAATTTAAATGAAGATTGCCTTGACTGATGATCTGGCTGAGTAAATTGTACCTTTAAAATAATTCTTGTTAATTTAGCTAATAACTTCATGGGTTTTAAATATTTATATTTTCATTAAGTATCAAATTTAAATAAGGTAATCCAAGGTTTTCTCATGCTTCTTAGATACTTTCACTCAGCTTTTATTAAGTGATTTAATAGAGCTTGGATGGTCTGACTTTTAAATGCTGTCATAACTATCAATCTCGGTATATTAATTTCCAATCTGCATGTGTCTGCAACTGCAATGTCAATGTCACTGTCACAGGCCAATTAAAGCCCAGCAAGGAAAACACTGCACCATTTATGGGCTCCACTTTGCCAGACACAGCACCACTGACTCAAAATAGCTTGAAGATGTTAAAAAGAAATGGCAAGGCCTTTGGTGCCCTGGCTCATTGCTAATGCTGCTGGGACATCACTAGTAGGAGTAAAATTACAGAGGAATGTAAGGATAATGTTTAAAGAGGAAAGAACGACAGTTTTGAAATTCCAACGATCCTCAGAAAGGAGGTTGTAGCCAGGTGGGGGTTGGTCTCTTCTCCCAGGCAACTGTCAGTAGGACAAGAGGACATGGTCTTAAGCTGTGCCAGGGGAGGTTTAGGTTGGATATTAGGAAGAAATTCTTTACAGAGAGGGTAATCAGGCATTAGAATGGGTTGTCCAGGGAAGTAGTGGATTCTCCGTCTCTGGAGGTTTTTAAGATGAGACTGGATGTGGCACTTAGTGCCATGGTCTGGTAACCACAGAGGTGTTGGATCAAGGGTTGGACTTGATGATCTCAGGGTCCTTTCCAGCCCGGCTGATTCTACGATTCTATGATTCAGGCTATGAGTGCATCCTGGTCTGCTGTCTCCTCTCCTGGCTCAGTACAATCAGTCACTCCCAGTTCCCCTTCTGTGCAGCCCCAGACCTGACACGGCCCAGGCAAGCACAGTGCACACACAATACACGATTGTGAAGTGTGTTCACAGATCTACTCACAGAGATAAGGATGCTAGGATAAGCCCATCTTTTAGATAAGTCTCATGTAACATTTGCATGGATGGGCAGCTTGGATTAGAGGGAACAGATTATTGTGGGTTTTGAGTAAATAGGGACTATAGCAACGTACGGGACAGACATCAACCTTTAACAAGAAAGGGGAAACAAACATTTGAAAATGTCATTGTTCTTATCTCAGAAGCCCATTTAAATAGCTAACAATGAATAGGGGACTGATGCTTTTGCAAGTGGGTAACAACAGGGCAAAGTTACAGTTGTATCTGACATTTGTCCATACATATATGTATAAACACTGTAAAAGCATAAATAACGTTTGATCTCGGGTTATTGCCTTTTTTCTCCACTCTTCCCTTGCTACTTTTTCCTTTTAGACAAATCACTTTGTGGTTTTGTCGTCATCATAGCCTAACATTTATTACCTATGTGCTACAAGACATTAATAAAGTAGAGTCATTCAGGCTGGTAAATGAAATAAAAATAAAAAGAAGAACTCCAGAAAATCCATGGGTTTTTTTCAGGTATTTCAGATCAAAGTAAAGAATTTTTAAACTGCTGTTTCAGCATCCACTTAGATCCTTGAGAAATTATTTCAGAGCACAGCACAGAAAGAACAAACACTGGTCCCGTGGAGCACTGTACCTTTCTTTATCCCACTAATAAGACAGTCATTGAAGATAGCTTTAGAGGATTGAAGAAGATCAACCAGGCTCTGTACACCACTTAACTCCAGACTGCTTTGCTTTCTGAAACATTGAAACTGAAGACACAAAACAAAACCAAACAAGCGTCAAATGGAAACTCCATCAAAAAGAAAGAGATGAGGAAAAAAATACTGTATCTGATTTAGATAAGCCAAACATTTTGATTTTTAGGGCATTCCAAAAACCCTCAATACTTCAGAGAAAGTTGAATTAAATAACGGCTGGTTTGGTTAATCAACAGCTTATGGTGGACCAGGCTCTTGGAAACCTCTCTCTCCCTCTCCTCATTAGAGGAACAGCTGTGTGTATATGTTTTTTCTTTCTTTTGTCTAATTTGCCAATCTAAAATCAAACACCTTTGATTTCTCTACTTTTACACAAATCCAAATATATAAACCACGTGTTTATTTTCTCCCTCTCTCCCCTCTCCCCTTCCCTTTGTATACACACATATATATGTACACACACACACTCTTACGCAAGTTTTCACTATTTAATGTGTTCAAATGGAACAAGTAAAGAAGACCCCCAGGCAGTGATCCCTTGCTCCTCTTGCCTGCAGATAACCTGGGATGCTCCAGGAGACAGTTACTCCCTGCATTAGAAAGTGACCCACAACTCCCCCTCTCCCAGTGACTGGCCCCAGCTCATCACAACTTATCTAGGACTCCACCTCTTCTAATATTTGTGGGTATCCTGAATATTGAAGCCCTTCATGCCTGCTATTAGTCTAAGGGATGTAAAAGAATAATCATTAATTCATCAGCAGTCACAGAAAAGGAGCTGACGTAGCAGTTATTTTTCTTCAAGGCTCTGCTTCCTTTTGGGTGCTAATCTATAAAATATTTAAAATTACTTGAAAGCACACTTCTGATCACAGCAAATGGTATCCAACTGAAACCTCTGTCACACCAGAACTTGAAGTATAAATATAAAATATAAACCACAGTGTCTGATTTGGCTAAGAGCTAAAAAACTACAATCCTGAAATTGGGAAAGAGCTTGTTGCATTAAACTGGGCAAGGCTAAACAGTAGAGGCAAATGTGGCACAGAATTAAAATTCTTCTGTCCTCATAAAACTCCCGTTCTTACCATAGTCAGAGTCTTCAGCTGGAGAAGATTTCTTTGGTGTTATAAGCACTGGTTAAGCAGTGGAATATACAGGCTGTCTTCATAAATAATTAATCTTTACAACTCTTTTCTCCATTATTATGTGGGAAAAGACTAAGCAGAGTCCTCTCACTGTGATTCCATTACAGGACTGTTCAAATTAAGAACTTTTTATAATATTTAGTTCCAGTTGTCGTCAGCAATCTTCACTTTTCTTTACACATGTTTGATTTTTCAGAGTATGCTCTGCCGTGGTCTTACTGCTCACAAACAGCAGTTTGATTATAAGTCATATAAAAGTAGATTATGCAAGTCATCCCAACCACATGTTAAGAAATCCTTTATATGATCTCAATCCAGTTCGATTTATGATCTTCAGTGGAATTAAGCAATGTATTTTAAAAATGTTCTGAACTTTCAAGGCAGTCAGTTGTGTAATTTTACCTTTAATGTCATAAGCCAGACTTTTAATGGTATCTACATTTGGGAAGAACTGGTACCTAATAATAGCTGCTTAATAAACTCAACTGCTAATGAAAATTGCACCCATGTCTCCTCCCCCATCTGCATTTTGAATGTTCTTGAAAACATGACCTCAGAATCCAGCTGCAAAAAGCTCAGAAGGCCTTATTATCCAGAAACACCATAAAATATGTCTTTTGTAACTGGAAAGCTTGACAGACAGACTGCTGGATGGTATTAAGCTTTGACTCCCACCTCTGCAAAGCCAGACCAGCCCTCTGCACACAGTGAATTATACATTTTATCATCTGTCAAGATGAAAACTCCTATATTTTTACAATAAAAATTTACAAAATTTACAGCAAAATTTTATCATAGAATTGTTAGAATATTACATGTTTATGTCTGATTTTTCATATACATTAAGGCAGACTCTGACATAAAGTTGGAAAAAATTATTATATAAACCAATAGTAAAGAGGGATTTGTGTTAAGGATGATCATGTCTGAAATGTTGCACTATCTGAGCACAGCACTGATTTTTATCCTGTTTCTACCTCTGCCTATGAGCTGGAGGAGGACTAAGAGGTACTGCAAGTACTTTATGCTCCATGTTATTAAGAGTTATTTATCCAGCTCTTGAATATCTGGGGTTTTCCAGTCTGCTGGTCATAATATATACTTATGCATCTCCAGTTGGGGAAATCCAAACATGAATTAAATATGAGCTGGGCAATTTTGAGCGGTGCTCTGAGACTTTGTGTCAGGGGAATGTTATTTTAAAAGAAGTAGATTGCTGGGTATCCAGGACAGAAAGGTAAAGAATATGGAAAGTGGTGAGGAATTTGATGAACAGTTTTAGACAGGCATTAAAAACATGTAACTGCCAGCAGTATAGCTATGGAATTTGAACTAGTCACTAAATTGCACCTGAGACTCCTATGACAGCTACCAGTCACACCCCCAATATGGTTTAAAACATAAGCAAAAGATTAAAACAATGGAGAGAAATCCTGTTTCTCACACAAACATAAGGGAAACAGAAGGCCAGCGTCTCCAGGTTCTTGCACGGAGCATGATGACTTTGACAGTGACTTTGAACAGTGATTTAAAGCATATCTTTTTCATTTTCTTTCCTTCATGAAGAAGTTTTTCCCCCTCCCCCATGTCCCATGAAAATCAGATAGATATGACCTAAATATACTTAAAAGGATTTGCATCCCAAAGACAAAAAAAGTTTAGTCAGCTCAACCTGACAGGCTCATTTACTCACATTCAGTGAAGACAGCTGTGAATTTCAAGAGAAATTTATACTGGTTGGTTAGTTAAGGCAGAAGCCAGAGAAGGTCTGTGCTTTGTGGACCAAACAACTGTGAAACAACATTTCTAAGGAAGGAAATGACCGTAAATGCCACAGAAACAAGTAATTTATAAAAATAGCTGTTGAAAAAATGTATTTCTAGGAGGATTTCAGGTTACACGTTTTATGCTT